TGAATTCAGTGAGATTTTATCCCAACCACACAGAGAACAGTTGTGCAGAAGATTCCTTACATCTAGTTGCTGACAATATTACCATCTTGAACTACAGAAGGACCTCTACTACTACAAATACTGAATTTCTTTGTAATACAGTTGGAATTGTTACTCACCATCTATGTTTTAATTTTATATCCTTAGCTTACTTTGTTAAATTCCTGAATTTCCAGACATCACATATGTGTTCATTACTTGTTCGGAGATTCTATAGTTTTCTGTCCTGAATGAACTGCTGTTGTGAGGCTTTTGCATTTTAGAAAATGCAATAAAAAGCTCTTGATACATTTAATGTGAGTATTCTTCTGGTGTGTATTTACCAGCATTTTTGATTGGACTTGCACATGCAAGGAGTCTAAATACCTCGTATAATTCAAAGAAATTTGTTGTCAGCAGTTACCTCCAGCAAATACACTTTGATATCTCCAAACAGGAATATCTCTTTTTGTTTATTAAGAAAACCTGCTCTCCATCTCTATTGGCATCTAATTACCTTTTTGTGTTCTGTGTCTTTTTACTGATCTACATCTTGGCTCAGTGTTTCCTGTAATTTGTTATGGATTCTTACAGGTTGTAGCTAGTGGTGCTGTCCTGCTTATCCTGCGGCTATAAATGTTTCAGCACCTTGTCTGCATTCCTTGCTGAAAGAGAATAGTTCATTTTATTTTATGTCCTGGTGTTCCCCCAGTGATCCCTAGATTTGATTTAAGAGAAAAATTGATGTCGATGTTCTGAGAAATCCCATGATCCTATTTTTATTAGTACCCCAAAGTGATTTGGTCCTGTTGTTCTAAAAAGAAAAAAAATATACATATATAGTTACCTTGACTACTGGCTGAATAAATCCTCCTCAGGACTGTATTAATGTGCAATGGCACATTGGACCTCAGAAAAGCCTGGAATGATAGAGGCCAAGCCCCAGAAGAAAATGCATACTGGGTCCAGTAGTGGATGGCCAGATACACATTTGGGACTGACTGCTTTGGGACAGAATTACGCTGCTGAGCTGTAATGCTGCTTCAGGAGCTGAGATGGGTAAATGGTCATTTTTGTGAAGGGAAGGACTGTCAGTTATGCTCCAAAAATTAGAAATTGAGTTCCAGATGTTAAGGAAGAATGTCAAAATACTGAATCTGTGAAAACTGTTTTCAAAGCTTGACAAGAGGAAATGGTTTAAAAGTAGAATAATTTCCCCTTGCAAGTGATTATTTTTTTCAGGGAGTGAACTCTAGAGTTCTATGGACCCACTCTTAAAGCTCATCAATGCCATCAGAAACATTGTGTTTAACTTGTCATTTTCATATATCTTAAAAAGATGTCCTGTGTTCCCACAAGAACATATTCATCTTCTCTCTTTCAACTTCAGCAAATATTGGTCATTTTGGCTCACTGCTTTCCTGTACATCACTGAAAAATAACTTATATTTCTAAATGTGGACCTATGACTTCCTATGCAAAGTGGGATTCAACCCACAGGGCATTAAGACATCAGGACAAAACCAAGTGACTTGAGGAATCATCATACTGCTCCCTTGTTAATGAACACTGGAGATTTATAGCACTAAATTTAACAACTACAGAGCTTGCAGCACTATTTCTAGACCTGTTTCCTGTGAAAATGTGGCATAGGTGATCACTCCATAAATCGGTCTCAGGTAAGGTTGGTTAGGTTTTCTCAAATTTGACACAACATTGGCAATCTGATGCTAAAATATTTTTAAAAATTGGTTCTTGGCTAGCAGAGAGGGACATTCATTAATATTCATTAAGAAATAAATTAATTATTCATTAATATTCGTTAATAAAAATAGATAAATAAGTGCATAAGTAAATGGCTAATCCTTTGCCATAGGGAAGGCAGTAGGGATCCTGATGGGAGCCTGGGGGACTGCAAGCAAGAATGGCAGGAACAGCTAGGGAGGGGGGGCACGAGTGAACTGCGGAGCAACAGCCACAGCAGTGGAGGAAAGTGGGATAAAAGTATGTAGGGGAAGAAGAATCTGTTTCATTAATAATTCTATCTAGGAAGGAAATTGTAAAAACCATTTAATCATCAGTGATGAAAAGCTATGGCTGCCAACTGAGACATCTCAGTGCTGTACACATTGTTTGTTTTAGCACAGCATGCTGCTTACAGAAGGATGTTTTGCTAATTACTCCTAAAAGTTATAGAAAGTTTGCAATGCACTCTTTTTACAACTGAATTGAATGATTCAGGACAGTAGAGTGAAAAAGAGAAGGATGAGACCATTTGAGTCTGCCATTCATCAGATGTCATGAGCTTTCTTCATTATAAAGCAAAATTTTTCCTGAAGAAAAAAAATAAACAGAAAATCCCCACAAGCCATCTCCTCTCTGTTCAGTGTGATTGAGTAATTTCTAAATACACAAAGCCCTGGGACCCAGAAGGACACTGTAAAAAAATAAACTCACTGAAACCATAGCTCTTGACAGAATTGCTGCTGCACAGCTATACAAAGTGGTTCATTACCAATAGGGAAGCTATTGCCATATGCTTGGACTGTTTGTCAGTCTAGATAAATGGGGAAAATGGGATAAAGAGCACTAATCAAGCTATTAAGAAGAGATGCAGTCAAACACCAGTAGTTGTATTCCATTCAGATTTAGGGGAATCAATGACACAAAGTCTAGTGTTGACTGAACTGGTAAGAATTGACTGAACTCTGTTGAACTCTTGTTGTACCACCAGAAAATCTGACTCCTATAATTCCAATGTGGCAGCTAGTCTGTCTCAGTCCACCTCATTATTAAAATACTCACATATCCCCCCAAAAGAGACATGAATTCGGGTTCTCTTGCATATCAGGTATGACACAGTTGTGTAATTATAACCAGCAGACTCAAGTTGCAAAAAGCAGAATTTTATGACTGAGGAGAGAGGCAGGAATTTATTCCCTATATCCCTCACACCTTCCTCTGAAGTCAATTTTCTTTAACGCTTAATATTACATGGTTCTGAGCATATGAAAAGGGACAAAAGGCTGGTAGTGCTTTGTAAGTCCTCCTAGTGCTGGAGGAAAGTTCTTTGGTGTTCCCACACCTTGTGTGGGAGATGCAGCAGAGCTCAAATCAACCCAGTTATTCTCTTCTCAGAGTAAATATTTACAGTTTTATTGAACTGGAGAGTCATGGGTTTTACAAACTCAGTCTAACAGCTTAGTGAATTTTTCCTAACACTTGTCCTAGAAAAATAAAATCAGATTCCTTTTTCAAAAGTAGTAATAGGATTCAAATATTAATGTGTCTTAGAAGGAAACAGGTGTATAATATCAAAATATTTGAGCTCTGCTATTGCTGTGTTTTGTGCATTTTATACTGCACTAGCCACAGAATGATGGTTGTACAATGGTATGTTACAAGAAGTATCTTAAGCATTTACTAAATTTGGCATGAGTTTTATATTCTTTGGTTAAAATGCAAACACATGGGGATTTAAGAAATTAAAGGTATTGGAATTTTAAGAATAATTCAGAGTCCATTTCGTTCAGCTATTGAGAAAAGACTGACATTGTGACTGAAAGACAAAACTATCTTATTTCTTCACTTAGGTCCTCAGAGTGTTTTCTTGTTCAGATCTGTCTTCTCTTAAAGCATTTTTGTGACCAATGTCAATAATGAACACTGGAGACCAGGAGCTTTCCAAGCTTTGGTGCCAAGAAGTGAGAACAAGTGATCAGCAACAATGTCTTGAAAGTACAATTGTAGATGACTTTATATATATGTACACACATATATAGATCAAGACACAGGCAAAAAAACCATATCAAGTTGAACTGAGCTCATCAGTATCTTATTTTCTATCTTGTATTTCTCCGCTTCTGTTTTCAATAGTTCGGGGCACCATCGCAGCTGTGGATGAGCAAGGACAGAGAACAATTATCCTATTTCCAGAGCTAATTGTGGTCTTCAACTAGGAAGCCAACTTACTGGGGTGAAGAAACTCATCACTGTCGATTTTAAGTTGAGGAATAAGATCTTTTAATGTGACCCACCATGACTAATTTCTTTCTTTCTTTATAATAAAGCATCAATGGTCAGTGTAATTCTCTTGTCTAGCACAATGCAGAGGATATACAGAAGCCATACAGAGGGAGACATCAAGCCAGTGGGATGCAGATGAACAAGCTTCTTTATAGTGACAGTCATATGGTTGCACTTGTGAAAGATTTATTGGTATCTGCACCAGAACTGAATTCCTCTCCCTGCAAAAATCCAAAATCTTGCTGGTGGGCATTCAAGAGAATTTTCCCAATGCAAAATAAATAAATAAATACTCAGGCAAAAATATCATACATGAAAAAATCCATTTGAGCTCCTTTGTTTCAAAAGGCCTGCTCAAACCAGGATGTTTTACCTTTTAATATCTATCTATTTATGCATGTGTGCAGGGAACCTACCAGCTAATTGGAATCATATTTGTAAGTCTACTGACTGTTACTTACTACTTCTGCAGTTCTCAAGCTGCAGAGCAAGTCAGAAATAAATCCTTCATCCTTACCTTTTCTATGTTTTCCAACAGTTTCATTTCTTTGAAGTCTTTGAGTTTTCTATATATAAAATGCAAAAATTTTTACAAATCCCAATGTAAATCCCCAAACAAGCAAAACAAACTCCCCTATGCCAATAAAATTGCACATTTAAGGGGATGGGGAGATATCTGGGATATAGATTAATTTTCGTTCCAGCTACATCAGCTTCATCTAGTTTAATGTTTGTTCTGTTACCATTTGAAATTCAATTTCAGGTAGTTCTGTATCATATCAACATAGGATACATCATTAACTCTAAGAGGATGTTTTCCTTTGGCATCTGCTATTTTCACCAAATGTCAAGGCTTGACATTTGCTATCTTTATCTGGTTTTGGTGTATCACTCATACTGAGATTTTGTTTCTTCTTATCTGATATTGATTTCAACTGTGACCAGCTGTGTTGCTAATAAAATCAACAGGCAAGTATCTGGCATTTAGTTCTTCACTGGTAGAGGAAAAGAAACAACCCAGTGACAAAAAAAAAGTAAAGAGATACTTTTCAATTAGGATGCTTGCCTGTCTCCTCATATTATCCATCTCTTAGTGCTTCTGTTGATGTAACATTTCTGATTGATGCCCTTGGGGAAATCTCCATGGAAATCTTGCATCTCAGATGAAATATTCCTTTTTGCTCTCATCCACTGCTTCCTGGAGAGCAGGGTCATTTTTCAAAGCGGTATCCGCACTTTCGGCAAACTCAGTTCCTTTTGCCTCATTGGTGTGGTAGGTGCCCTTATGCCTGTACATGTACCGGACCATCACCACCAGCAGGCAAATGAGGACAAATACCACTGCAGCAATCACACCTACAGGAAAGAGACCAGGTAAACATATCACCAGTAATAAAATATGAAAAGTATCTCATAGCCAGACATCACAACTTAAATAGCTTGAAAGGAAAAAGCCCATGTATAATAAGATGTTTGCATGTTGCAGTGGCCAGAGTCAGAAAGGAGTCTGACACTGTAAAAAACAACTTGGGATATAGATACAACAGGAATACAGGACAAAGTCTCACTAGCTTTCTTTCAAATCGATGGCTTGATTTGGTTGAACATGTTGGAGCTAAAAGTTCATTACAAAATGTAGAGAAAGAAGGGGACATAAAGGAATACCAATAGGTTTCTTTCATCCGTCTGGTAATGTATACCCAGGGGGGTTGCAGGGAACCTGACCCTGCCTTCTCAAGGGTTCTCAATTTCAAAAGATGTTCAGGGCAGCCAGTATTTCTTAGGAGACATTCAACAAATAGCAGGAGCTGTGTGACTCTGGCACTGCTCTATATTTGCAAGCTGCCATTTCATGCTGTGCTCTAATTAAGAAAGTCTGATTGTAATGAATGTGGAAGTGACACCTGGGAGAAGAAAGGGCTTCTGGGTAGATCTTTCCTGTCTCATGGACTAAGGCTAATTACCAGCAATGTGTTGACTTGACAAAAATTTCTATAGGTAACCCAAATGTGCATAGGAGTAAATGGTGAATGGAAGCACTCCCAGTGAAGCAAAGTAGATTCTAGCTCCTTTTCTACTGTGAAAGACAGATGTCTGTGAAAGACAGGTAACTCTGACAAGTCCATTGTTAAAAAACCTAAAAACTTTATCCCCTTCCTCCTAGATAAAATTCTTGACTTAAAAATTGTGAAAATAAATGAAGTATTTTGAGGTGTTTTAACCTTGTGTGACTTTCATGGTGTTTTAAAACACATTTTGCATGCAACGAGGTTGAGCTTATAAACACTGTGATTCTGTACATGATACTGAGCTGAATCTATATTCATATGACTCCATGAGTAAATCAAACATTAAAGAAATGCACAATAAAAAGGACCAGAGCAGGACATTCCTAGGGTTTCTTCAGCTGTCAGTGGATAGTGTGTGTATGTATGGTCATTCTTCCTCTAGAACTGAATTCCTGCATTATGTCAGATGAATTGCTCCTTAGAAATGCCTATTATTCAGCAGAGACAATGAGAAGTAGGTAGACAGTATCTCTTTTCTTCACCCCATATTCAAGGTATGTGGCAGGAGTGGGTATCTCCAAAACTTCAGATTAATCAGCATCAGTAAAATGGGGAATAGACAGAATAGACAGAATATTAGTAGGGTAAATAAAGTTTAAAACTTTGCTTTAAAAGATACCCCTTAATGTTGTCCCTCAGATTTCATGGCACCTGGCTCTGGAACGTGAAGCTACTGCTGGCAAAAATGGAATTGTTTATACAAAGAACTTCAGGTTTACAATAATATCATGATTGCAGTGGGAGCTTCATCAATTTTTAGAGCCACAGTGGTATCCCTGGACACAAGAGGCTCTAATAGGCTTTAGATGTAGCACAATATTAATAAGCCTAAGGGACTAAGTACAAATCAATTTACCTGCTACTTGTTCATAGAAAGCTGAAATTAAAGTTACGTGAGATGGGACCTGAGGGAAATATAGTAGAACCTCACCAATTTGCACTAATGATTGGTATAGCCCCTTGTGAATGACTGAAATTAGTGTGTTAGCATGGAAATGAACAAACACAATAAAAATAAAAAGACAGGTTCTCTCTGTGCACATAGTTTTGCTCATTTATTCTGACAACTGTATTTAGTTTAAATGCATGAGAGAGCTTTAATGGAACACCAGGAAATATACTGTGGTGTATTCTGTAACAATAAAGGGTCAGCTGGTATGAGTTAACATGGCTCAAATCAATGGTGCTACACCAGTTCTATATTAAAGGACAGGCTTGGCCCAGTGAATAATGAAAGATATCAGAGACTGAGTTTGCTGCTGGACTGTTAGGCATTTTGTCCTAAAATGGGGAATGGATGGGGGTGGTACTGTTCAGTATACGGCTTATTTATGCTCATTATCTCATCTTGTTAGCTTGCCAATAGCCCCTCTGGGAGCAGATTTCCCACTGGTCTAATTAACTCTAATTGTGCCGCTCCTGTTGTCTTGTCAGCAAAGTAGAGGTTTTGTAAAATGCAAGAAATCAACCAACCTGCTGTTTTAATTCTAATGCTGCTTCTTAGTATGGTCTGCCACTTACCTCCAATAACAGCCACATCTGCTCCAGCTGTGGGGCTCTCGACTTCTCCATCTATAAATAGAATAGAACACACAAAAGTTAATTAAAAAAAGGAATTGGATCGCATGTAGCAGCAGTGATTGTACTGGTGGTGCTGTATTATTTTAACCTCTGAAACTCAGAACTTAAACAAGGTTTCTTGTTAGGAAAAGACATTTATGAAGCTTCACATTAGAGTTAGCCATACTGTAACAGTTTTATGTCACCATAACACTGGAAAATAAATAGCTAGAGCATTATGCAAACTATCATGTCCCTCAGGGAAACACCTACTGTTTATTACAAGCACTTACCTGCAACATCCTCCAGTGAATGATTAAATTAAGAGCATTTAGGTACAGTGATTACTCTCAGAAAGCTAGTTTTGGGGGAAAAATGTTGATGCCGATTTATTTTCCCATTTATGGCTCTTCAGAGTGTGGTCTGAATCTTGATTTGCTGCAAATTAATCTGGCTGTATTGATTTCAATTAGTACTTATTTATCTGCAATATCCTGTTCTTAATCTTAACATTTGTTTTCTTTTAAGCTTACAAGGCAAACCTGTTATGTGTGTGGTATAAAACGCAGTCCCCACTTAGAGTAAGTCTGAATTCATTGCTGATAAATCAAATTATGTTCTTTGTTGGATTATAATTTATATATAAAAAAGAAATGATAACTGTACTGTTTAAATGCAATGGAAAAGTACCTGACCATGTCTTTTCAAGAAATGGGTCTGAAACACTGTAAGCTGCTGAAAGAGCTGTAGCATTTGAATTGCATTTTTATCTTAATTATAGCACTCACTAAGAGTCTATAATCACTCACACCTAATGAATAGCCAAGATGTTTTAAAGGGGAGACAAAAAAAAAATCCCCCCAAATGGTGATGCTATTTCTCTCCTTATTATTTGATATAGACCTTAAGTTAAAGTGAAAACATACAGACAAGCAGTTCTTCACAACTTCCTCTTAGTTGATCGGGGTACTATTCTGAATTGTTTTCTGCTCCTTATTTCATTGCATTGATATCAGCCCACCTAGTCCTGGATTATGTGGATGTCTGAGAGGGTGATGAACTCCTGGAGTTTTTCCGTGCTAGTATTATGGTAGGACACACATTGCTTTGTTTAGTTTTGTTCTGTTCATACAATTCTAAATGATAGTGGTTTCTGAACAAGACAAACAGCTTTATGTGAGGGTTTTTTTTTAATATTTATTATTTCTTTCTTTCTTTTTATTTACCTTTGATAAATGCAGTGGATAGAAAAGTTCCCTGGAAAAATTCCAAATCCTTCTATAAACTCAACAGTAGCACTATGACTGATACCTGGCTTTCTTTTTGCTGAATCTGTATATATGATTTAAGGATAAGACACTATCAGCATCTTTCTCCTCACTCATACCTGGTCTCTAGTATCAGTTTGCAACAAACTGAGGAGATCTGAGATTCAAAGGTTCCCCCTTTCCCCAAACGTGGGAGATGTTTTATTTCTAGAAAGTAGAAGTCATTTTCTCTCCCCCAGAGGTCCTCCCACATTTTCTTCCAGCTATACACTGATGGAAAGATTGAGCATGCCCTGTGTAATTTAAAAGCTCTAATTATGTCTACGTCCATTCAAAACCCATGTGCCTCAGAAGAGATTAATTGCCTCAAGGTCAAACTGCTCTGTATTTCTTTACACACCAAATATATGCTGCATGCCAAAAAAGCAGGTTCCTCAATGGCAATCAAATACTTGAGGGTGTGAATTTTAAAGTGTTTCCCTAGCCACACAGCTTGCTTCCAAACATTATTTCCAGATCAAATTATTATCCCTTTAATTCTGAAAAAAGTATGTGAGTAATTCTCTGCTCTTTTCTGGCATTCTCATGTGCCTCTCAAGTTCAGATAACAAGCAGGTGCCTTATCTCTAGTACTTGCCACCACAGTGCTTTTTGATAATGGATTACAGTATCATCACTTTGCAGAAAAGTTTTCATTTCCATACTGTACTTTCTAAGTTTCCAAAAGAATGCTGGACTCATCTTGAGCTATCATGTAGCCAGCACTGGTCTGTTAAGCTGTCAATGCTGTGCCATTCAGGAACCAGGTAACACTGTGATGTGGCTTCACTCACTACAGTTGCATTTTACTGCAAGCACAAGGATCTGACTTATTTTTGTGTCCACTTTTGACCACAGAACAGGCTTTCTGTCCTCCCAGATAGCCTTTTGCTGCATCATCCAGAGTGCCAGAACATTGCAGCCACCAATGATCTGACATTTCCAAGGTCTGTTCATCAGATCAGGTTTAGAGCAATGATGATGGAAAAGACAGAAGGACCCTCAATGCCTGTCTCAGTCTCTGAAATTTTACTTTGTCCAAAACCAGCTATGTGATTCACAGCAATATCACAATACTGCTAGGAAGGGGTAGAAGGTATTAGTGTCATTCAAGATTCAAGCAGTATCACCCTTCATGACACATGACTGAGGAACATGCAGGACATCCATGATGAAATGAGATCATCTTCCCTGAGCAGGAGTGAGACAGCAGTCACTGTCTAGAAGGAAATCCATGCTTGGCCAGGAACCTCAGCCTGGTCTCTCTAAACTCAGTCTATGTGAGAAATACACTGCATTACTGTAGGACTGAATGTTCACTTTCTGAGGCAGAAAAGATATCCAAAATACTGAAAGAATCTTTAGCTCAACAATGGCTTTGGCTTTCTTGTACCTTCTTTATTCTTTTCACATGCAGAGAACTCAAAAGACTGTTTCCATAGCTGCTGTTGCTCCTCTTTTGATTATTTTCCTTTGTTTCAAGGACATCTTTTGTGTTATCTGCTGCCAAACTGTCCTTGCAAAACTTCCTCTCACTGTTATACTGGCTCTTGCACATAGCTGCAATCTGGTCCTGAAAGTGTTTAGACAGTGTTGTTATTTCATGCTATTGGTTACCATGGCACACAGAAATCAAAAGATTGAAACTTGTTTTTCATAAAATTTCTGGCCATCAGAATGAATTGACTAAATCAAGAATAGAACATACAAATCAAATTGTCTGTTGTTGGAAAGTATGTTTCTAAAAGCCAGAGTGAAGGGAAAGAAATGCCTTTGTGTCATGACCTGAAATTCATCAAATTCCAGTTCTGCCCATAAACCTACATATAAGGAATTTTTCCAATAGAATGACAATTGCTACTTGTCTCATTCTCATCAATCACGTCCTGCTGAGAAGGCAGCAGCCTCTGAAAACTCCAGGAATATTCCTGACTTAAATACTGCAAGCAGATCTCTGGCATTGTTCTTCAAAGGTAAAAAACAGTACAACTATCTTGTATGTTAATGTAGCCAGTGCTGAGTTTTCCTGCTAAAGTTGTTGGTAAATTTGTTAAACCACCTCCTCCAGGTGCAATTTTTCAATAAAACCTGTTTGTATGAATTTTGATAGTTTTTTTTAAAAACAGTTTATACCTATCCTGTTCCATTTTGGCTGAGAAGCACTGGTTTGAAGGAGGCAGGCCCAGCAGTGAAAGTGTTTGCAGCTAGTACTCTCCTTGTTTTACTATGCAATTCTCTGGCAGTTGTAATGGCTTCTTTTGTTATATAAATTGAAAATCTGAACCACTAAGAGCCATACATAATTTCCTGCTTAAAAATTATGACACTGTCTTTAAAAGAATTTGAATCTTTTTATTATATGACCTTTATTCCATATCTGAGCTTCATCCAAGCAGTACTTTCTGGCCCTTCTTTAAAATACCAAAGTCAAAATGTGCTTTGTAGATGAAAACTGAGATTTGGGCCCTATTTTATGACACCAGGAAACAAGTTTTTAAGGAAAACACGAAGTAGTATGAGAATTCTGATAAAGATGCAAGATCAGTGATCTGCTTTAGAAGTATAACCATGTCATGACATTCAAATTGAGAAGCCATTCAACTTACATGGTGGTGGGGCAGGGGATATTCATTCCCAAAATACTTTCTTCCATCCAGCATAGAAAGCTCTGAGTTTAAATTCTGCTACCTGCAGAAAATAACACCTTAAAGTGCTTCTGTGGCTACTGTTAGTGACACATGGGATAAACTTGTAGAGACCCTCAAGCTTTCTAACTTTCAGGCATCATTTTCCCTGCTGAAAGAATTTCCGGAAAAAAATTCAGAACTTTCACCCTCAGTGACTTTGCAGTCAGCACTGTAATTAGCAGTTTAAGTACCAACATGTTTGCTTGTTATGGATTTCATCATGGAAAAGGCATGAAAGGAAAACTGTACCTGCAAAGGGATCCCCATTTGGCACATTTGATGGGAACGCATAGGATTCATCCTACAGGATAGATCTTATCTACTAGTGCAGAACTGCTAAATCTCTACCGTGTAATCCACAGGGGCAATTTGATGGGATAACATAGGCCTTACCCCAGCCTTCTCAAGGCCTCTCTAATTTCCTAAAATAAAGCTCCAAACTAAAGCTGGTAGAGTTGAGTAGAGAAAGGAAAGCCTGAGATTAGAGGTCATGTTGTCATGATTCCTATGCAGCTGTGGGTGATACTGCGTTTTGGAGTGGGTTTGTCAAACTGAGTGAGTATAGAGACATCTATGTGTGATAAGCAGCTTTTTCAACAGTTTTCACAGTTACTTGACAGCAGTCAGGCAGCACTGCTCCGGCTTCTGCCTTTGAGGATTTTTCTACCCACAAGCTTGTGCTTTTGATTCTTAGCAACCTCAGACACCTCTTATCATGATGCTTCACTGCTGCCTGCTTGGTTACAATCTCAGACAAAGCCTTGGCTGCTAAATTACACTCAAGTAGATATTTTAGTGCTTTCTTGGACTTTCCCTCTTGATGTGCCTGTTCATTGCATAAGAAGTGCTTGAAATTCATTCAATTCATGTGAATGGTGAGCTGAGTTCTTAAGGTAGTCATTTCCTTCTTAGGGCTTTCCTAGCCATGCAGACTAGGAAACTCACTGGAAGATTTAATCTTTAATCAGCTCACCTAATTGCTTTATGAAAAACACTGCTCCTAATGGGTATTTTCCAG